CAGGGAATACTTAGAAATGTTTGTCACTACTTGGACATTAGGTTGCCACTGGCATCTGATATGTGGGGACCAAGGATGCTTTCAAAGATCCTGCAGTGTACAAAACAGCCCCCACCACGAGGAAGGACCCAGCCCACATTGGTAATAGTGCCAAGGCTCAAAAACCCTGTTTTAAACTAAATTTTCTCCATGAAGTGATTGCAAAGAGATTAGAATTAGAAGATCATTCATCAAGAGATGGAAATTTGTCTTTTGGGGGAAAACAGAGGGACGCTTGAACAGAAAATTTCAACTCTATCATTCAAGCAGGAGATAGGAAGGAGCAACACACCCTGGGGGGGACAGACTGAGGGCAGATCCAGGATGGGGAAGCTCTGGGGAGTTTTTGTCTCGCTTCCCCGTGAGTCTAGAGCATTGTGTAATAATAGTTGTCATAACCAGACAGACAGTGGTAGTCGGCGTCGTCGTCAGGCTGCAGCCCAGAGATGATCAGGGAGGCGGAGTTGGAGGAGCTGTCGATGGAGCCAGAGAACCGATCGGGGACTCCAGAGGGTCTTTGGTCATCATCGTAGATCACAGCGGTGGGGGCACTGCCCGGGCGCTGCTGGTACCAGCTCACATAGTTATCCCCAACGTTGCCGCTGCTGCGGGTGCAAGAGATGATGACCTTCTGCCCCGGAGACCCCGACACAGAATGAGGCTGAGTGAACACAACCTCGGCCCACCTCCCTGCAAGGAGAGAGTGACATAGAGATAAGTGAGGACCGTCCAGACACTGTTCCCAGGGAGGAGGGGGAGGTTATCATCTGAGGTGGCACATAGTTGTCCTCCCTGCACTCCCTACAGGCAGCCACCTGTGCAGTGAGCAAAAAGAGTGAGGAGGATGGGAGCGCAGGCCATGGCGGAGACAACCTAGGCTCTGCTTCCTGAGCCTGAGTCAGAACTGAGTCCACCAGCACTTCTTAAATGTGACCCTCATCCTCAGCGTGGGAGATCTCCATGCAAATCTTCCCCTTTCTGGAGGCTGCACAAGCCCCTCCTCCAACCTTAGCCTGGGCTGCAGCTGAGAAGAGAGAGTGCGTGGGTGGGGGGGAGTTCACTCCTGTGAGGGCACAGGAACACCTGCTGGGGGTGGGTGAACAGCTGAGAAAATGAGGAGCACAGAGCAGGTGCCTGGACCACAGCGCCCTCTGGTGGACAGAGAACACACGTTGGCCCTGGG